AAACTCAAGTGGGACTTAGGATGTTATAAATTAATTGATCATGTAAAGTCTGTGTACTCTTCATTTGTGAATGACCAGAAAAATTACATTTTTCTATTATCACAATTCTCAACTTCCAAGCAGGTTTTCCATTAATTTGAGATCTCGAAATCTACAATATGTACAAGCGCCGTGGATCCCTCCAAGGACGGTTGGTAGCCCAACTGGTCGATCAAAATCAAAAAGATCTTAAGAGAAAGAGGCTTCAACTACACGCTACGACTTCCCTCGGCAACTTCGCCGGCAGCAGCCGATCCGGAGACACTGGCAGCCTCGTTGAGAAGTTCCTCACCAGGAACTCCTCGTCCGACTCCCGGCTCCGATCATCCTCGAAGTTGAGTGCATAGCTCATCGGATCGTACGTGAACTCTGTGGCCGCAAAGTGGCCCCGCCTCCTGCACCTCCCGATCCGCGTGATGATTCTCCGGCACTTGTACCGGATCTCCAGCAGCAGGAGCTCCTGAGCCATCGAAAGCAGCCACGAGCAGGGCGATCGAGCCACCTTGCAGCGGTCCCGTCGTCGCGGGCCGAGGAGGGGGCCTCATGGTAGACAGCAGCGTGGCCGTCGTGGAAGCGGCAGAAGAGGAGGCGGGGAGAGGATGATGGGAGCTTGTGATGGAACAACATTTTGGGTGTGTGAGAGAGATAGCGCGATGGACTCGAAGTCTTGGTCTGGTCTGTGCAAGACTGCGAAGAGAGTGAAGAGAGTGAATGGTGATGAGGAAGAACATGGAGAAGAGGGATGCAGTTGGAGGGTTATTTATAGAGATGATCTCGTAGTCTTGAACAACATTTCGACAGAGAGAGCGATGAACTCGTAGTCTTGGTGTGGTCTGTGGAAGACTGTGAAAAGAGTGAAGAGAGGGAATGGCGATGAGGAAGAAGGTGGAGAAGAGGAGGAGGTTGGAGGGTATTATTTATAGGTCGGACGGATAAGGACGGGGGTCGTGTGGCGGCAGAACAGAGTGGTGTGGTGGGCCTGGTGGGAGTGGGAGTGAGGATGAAGAAAACCGCGGGTTGCTCGTGGGCGCAAGTGGGAAGCGGTTCTTTTGCGTCAATCCCGCGTGAGGTTTGTTCCATCTTTACTTTTCTCCATCTTAATTTTGGGCAGTTCGGTAATTAAGCAGAAGTCAAGGGACCACGTAGCAGCTGCTTTTTTTTTTCTTCTTTATCTCTCTTTTGTTTTACCAAAGTTAAAATTTAAATAAATTTTTTATGGATTTTATTAGACCTATTAAACAAGTGGATCGAGTTGGGTTGAAAATTATCTGATCCAAATTGACCAATTTCCATGTAATACAAATATATCCAATACGTACCCGCCCAGACCCATATTGCTAAAACACTTCTATCTTTATCCCAATATAGGAAAACTCATATCCAAGCTAAGGTGAGAGTACGGAGTGAGCGAGCGCGATCGAGTGAAGGCGAGAAAGAGTGAAGAGAGTAATAGATGTGAGTTGGATCTAAGTAAGTTGTGAACATATTTAACACTCATATCATTTTGAGCCTTACCATTCTAAATCCATTTATGACCCCATTTATTGAATATAGCTAATCCATATAACAATCCAACCTATCAAATACGAGTTAAAAAATGGATCTATGACCCATTTTGACATATCTAGATTTTGTCGTACGACCATATGAATAGAGAGAGTAAATGCCAAGAACAAAATCATGACTTCAATGTCATGACTTATGACCTTAGTCTCCTGAAGCAGCTGCAGTGCGGGAAAGTTGATTTATTTCAAGTTGGAGAATCCGTAATCCTAGGAATGTGATGGACCCGATTAGATACAGAAAGAAAATCAATAAGATGTGAAACATCTTAGACTAAATGAGTATAACTTGGAGGCAAGGCGACCAAAGAGAGGAGATCGATCGGGACGTTCGATTTTTCATGTGATATCAAATCAGATATTCAAAAGTTCGAATCCCTCTATCACCTCCCACATTACCATCACTTTAAATTTTCTTTCAATGTCCCGGCATATACTAGCATTGAGTCGTGTTAATGCAGCTTCTTTTGAGCGAATAGGTGATGTTTAGACCAGCTAAACCATTACTTTGTCGGTGTGTTGATGCATCTCTCAAACATATGTTGATGCGCAAATTGATCCCAAGCTTGAGAAAGCGTGTTACATTAATCAATCTGCATGCACAGATAAATTGCAAATCGGGTATTCAACCTAGGTTACTCTAATAATTAAAGTCAGTAAGAATGAATCACTTCATTCCAGACGCCCTTGCACTGATCTCCACTTAGTCTCCTTCACGTGACACTAGCTCCACTTCTAATGGTGGTTTCATAGATCTCCTAGCTGGCTTTCCCAAATACCTAGAATCGCTCTCTCTCTCTCTCTCTCTCTCTCTCTCTCTCTCTCTCTCTCTCTCTCTCTCTCTCTCTCTCTCTCTCTCTCTCTCTCTCTCTCTCTCTCTCGTTTTAAAATAAACAAGATGTCCCATGGTGCATGAACGAGACGAGGGTACGATGAATGTTCCTCAATACTCAGTAGCTACGACATAATCATTGTAATTAACTAATAATTAAGAATGATGGGGGGGGGGGGGGGGGGGTGTCATGTCGTTTGGCTTGGATTCTAGTCATTTACGAACCAAGCGATTCACGTGATCGTTGGGCTCGTGTAGTTCTTGAAGTGCGAGTCCGCATGTGGGAGTGCTCCACGTCGGTGTGGCTCGGACTGAGCATCCGAGGAAATGATCCGTGCATCCAACCATCGGTGCCCGCTGCCGGACGCCTGCTCACCCGACAATTTGGTATACATAATTAGGGAAATATGGCATTTGTCTCTATGGGTGTATTCGAGTTGAGTATGGTCGATGCGGTGCCATCACGGTCAGTTCGACTTGATCTGTATACACAACATTTAAAAGTCGACCCGAACTTAATCGAGTATTAAAATTTGTGCTCGAGTTCAATTTGATTAGAAAATCGAGATAATCGAGCTTGACTCAAATGAAGTTGCATCCACGTTATTCATAAGGAAAATTCATTCATCCAAGACAAAATTTACTGCTTGTCGGTTCTCGTTTCATCGACGCAAAACTGATCAGCAAAAGTGCTTGAACATGGAATACTCCAGTCAGAAGCGAAAGCAAAACGAAGATGATGATGACATATCGAATGTTGGAGATATAGATATATTTAGGAATTTTGTGTATTTCTCTTGATTGATTCTGATTAATTCTAATTGGTATTTCAAAACTCAAGTAATATCTCAATTAACGGTTTGAAATTAAATCTTGGGCAACTAAACTTTTAGACTTGGAGGTTCATTCAGATTCTCTGGTTATAATCTTTCCCAAGCCAAGTATGCCACTAATCTTATTTCTCGAGTTACAACTCCTCTTGAGACAAATGCCAAATTTGATGCCAAAGATGGGACTCCTCTTTTGAATTCTACACTCTATCGACAACCAGTCAGCAGTATTATATATATCATTGTTACTCAACTTGATAGCCTATGCTATCCATATTGTTAGTCAAGTCCTTCGAATTCGTTGCTACATCAAGGGTACGCTCCACTGTGGGTTACTGCTTCTTTTTGGGCATCTCACTTCTCTCATGTTATAGCAAGAATCAAACCACTGTAGCTCGCTCTAATACAGGAGCAGAAAATCGAGCTCTTGCTAATACAAGATCATAGTTACTATGGTTACGATGGCGCTGTTTGAAAACATGGGAGTGCATTAACATACAAGAACAATCAATTATTACGATAATCGAAGTGTTATTCAAATAATACATAATGATGTTTTCCATGAACAAATCAAGCACGTTGAAATAGACTATCATTTCATTAGATATCATGTTTTTTGCGGCGTTATTCGACTTGTCTCTATTCATCCACTGAACAAACTGATGATATCTTCATTAAGACACATTCACTTGCACGTTTCTGAGATCTTTTCTCCAAACTTAGGGATGTTAGAAATATATATATGTTGTATTTCTCTTAATTGATCCTGTAAAGTCTTGTGTACTCTTCATTCGTGAACGACCAGAAATTTACATTTTTGTATTATCACAATTCTCAACTTCCAAGCACATTTTCCGTGGATTTGAGATGTTGAAATCTACATATGTACAGGCAGCGTGGATCCCTCCAAGGACAGTTGCCAACTTGTCGATCAAAATCAAGAGGATCTTGAGAGAAAAAGATTTCAACTACACGCTACGACTTCCCTCGGCAACTTCACCGGCAGCAGCGGATCCGGAGATACCGGCAGCCTTGCCGGGAACTCCTCGTCCGACTCCCGGCTCCGATCGTCCTTGAAGTTGAGCACGTAGCTCATGGGATCGTACCTGAACTCCGAGGCCGTGACGTGGCCCTGCCTCCTGCACCTCCCGATCCGCACAATGATTCTCTAGCACTTCTACCAGATCTCCGGCAGCGGGAGCTCCTGAGCAGTCGAAAGCAGCCACGAGCGGGGCGATTGAGCCACCTTGTAGCGGTTGCCGTTGTCACAATCCGAGGCAGCCTCATGGCAGACGGCAGCATGGCCATCGTGGAAGCAGCAGAAGAGGAGGCGGGGAGAGGATGATGGGAGCTTGTGATGGACCAACATTTTGGGTATGAGATAGAGAGAGAGATAGCGCGATGGGACTCGGAGTCTTGGTCTGGTCTGTGCAAGTCTGCGAAGAGAGTGAATGGCGATGCGGAAGAAGATGGAGAAGAGGGATGAGGTTGGTGGGTATTATTCATAGGGTGGACCGGATAAGGACGGCGGCGTGCGGCGCAGCGGAGCAGAGGCCGTGCGAGTGATGAAGAAAACCGTGGCAAGTTCGTGGCAAGTGAAGAAGTGGTTTTTTGCGTTAATCCCGCGAGGGTTTTATCAATTTTGTTTATCTTAACTTCCGTTTTTGGGCAGTTTGGTAATTAAGCAAAAGTCGAGGGACCCCGTAGCAGCTGCTTTTTCCTTTTCCGCGTCTACGAAAAGTTGAAAGATTAAATAATTTTATTTATGGGTTATCGTATGACAATATAAATTACAGAGGGAATAGGCCAAGAACGGAATCGTGACTTGGAAGCCATGACTCCCCGACCTCAGTTTCAACCACGAGTAACAAAAGGATGGCATCCGCTCATATCGGATCTCTACCCAATACCTTTCACCATTATCCCTGACACTCCACTTTCCACGTAAGAGGGGTTTGTTAACATCCACTGCAACTTTAGCGCGAAGGAATCCACGAGACCCAGAGATTTGGTGCGAATTGACCCAACTTTCACCACTTTGCCCGCCAAAGGAGCAATAGATTTCGTACTGTTTTTATGTCATCCGGTTGAAGGCCAATTTATGTATTTGCAGCCACATCTCCAGTTCATCAAAACAGAGGTCCTCCAGTCTCCTCTGAGCATCCCATCTCTGCAGGTTTTTGCAATTTCCCCTAATCGACCAAGGTCCAGAACTTAGGACTCTCTCTGCTTGGTGCCAATCGTGAAACCTGAACAAATACATCTTCTCATTTCGAGGGGTTATAGTAATCTCACCCATACCGGCCCAGGCTTTCCTTCAAACATTAGCTATGCAGCTCGACTCAAGCACTTCTCCGACAAGATCCTTCCCATCAAAACCATCTCAGCTTCCTCATCATCAACTTGCTCCAAAACCAAATGATCCCCCAGAAGATTGTCTACCAGAGATGCTTGCGATGTTAAGGGAACCTCTGCAGGCATCCTGTAATGAGAAAAAAGAAATAGAGCAGCAGAGAATAAACTCAGAGATGTCGTCGAACAGTTGATAGGGGCAGTGTGTAGTGATAGGAAAACTAATGCGATGAAACAATGCCAAAAAGACGTAACTAAAATAGAAAGCAGATGGAAATATCCCATTCTTTTTGGAGCATAAATGCTAGAAAGCTAACATATGAAGATAAGAGAAAATGGTTGTCGTAATTTCTAGCATACAGAGCAATCAACCTTGAGCTTCTGTGGCTGAAAAATCAACCTTGAGCTTCAGTCTTTAATGCCAATGATCTTCCATTATTTTTGCAGTGTTCGACTTCAACGCAGGGTCACACGACGTTGTGAACATGTCAAATGGTGATAAAATTAACTGCAACAGCACTTCTAAGTTCATACACTAACCAATGGACCAGCCACCTTTTCCCTCAACAACGCCTGCGAGTATTACTTCTTCTACACCTTTTCTAAAAGAGACAATTGCTCTCAAGGACAAAAATTAGCTGTCACCATCAGTGAAACCTCGACCGCCCCGAACTCTAGTCCAGCTGGATCCCCGTAACTGCCGGCCCCAACCATTGGGACCACCACATCTCTGCCACCATCCGGAAGTGATGCTTCCTACTTCTGTGTGATACTACTAGTCCTGTTCATATCCATTGCCATAAACTTATCATGTGAGTTCATTATACATGAGGATCATTATTTCTAGTAGGTATAGGTCGACTATTGATAGATCGTGAGATGTTGCTCCTCGTCATAAAGTGAATAAACTCATTAAAATGCTTCTTCTCATAATTCCAGCATGATTTATATACATAACATTGCTCAAACTTGTAATGGTTTGTAAGTTTCTGCGGAATAAATATATGGTGCTCCTCGCAAATTCTGAATTTCGGCTCTATTCGCAGTTCCAATATCATGAAGACCGAGATTATTAGAAAAATTAGAACGCGGCAGGAGACAAAAACTTGCATACTGGAAAGTCGAAATGGAGCATCACTAGAACAAATCCTCATTGGTGAAGCAAAAAAATCTCACCATTGGAACGACAAATGAGCATAACAGTAAATCATATGGCGACAGGAAAAACAGTGTGAATCTTGTTAGGATTAAACTCATCACAAACAATCGATTGAGAACTAAAAATGACAATGAAACTATGAACTCATTCTTGCAACCTTGCAGCATATTAAATTCACACCAGATGATTATTAGCTTGAAAGAACCCGACGAATTTTGGGGACTCAGAATGCCACAAGTCTAGCAGCATGTCTCTCTCGTTTGCCTATGTGTTTTTGTACTTTGCCTCCAGAAGCTTCCTTAATAATCCACACGTAAATCATTAAATTACTTCTAGTAATCATATGAGAACAGACAAAAGAGAAAATTACAGTTGCAATATTGCAGAACAATAAAAACCAATTCAAGCAATCAAGAAAAGCAAGCAAATTCACGTCATTCCTGAGCGTGGGATTTCTGTCATCCACCTTACGAAACTGAGATGACTATGGTCAAAGGGATTTTCTTAAAGAGTTGCTTGTTCTTTCAATGTTTTGTAATTTCCACAGTATCAACATCGCATATAAACCAGTATGCCTGCCATTAATCAACAGCATAAAAGTTTAACCCGCCATGTAAACAAAACAAACTGGATTTCTATACTGTATCGGCGGTTTTGTTTCGACTAAGATGGGCTATTTTCTTCTCATCCCCACTAAAGACTGTTGACACCTAATTTTTTTCACCTCGTTAAATCAACGCTTAAATGGTAAATGGGCCAAATTAGGAGAGATAAAATTATTGGGAAATAATTTTTTTTTAAATAATTAGAGAAAGGCCGGCCCGCCTCGGCCCGGCAACCCCGATCCCCATTCTATCTCTTTTTTATTTTATATCGATCCAACCCCTTATTTTTCTTAGTTTTTCTTCATTTTCCCCACTTGAGCTCGCGTGTGCCCATTTTGGCCCGGAAGACCTGGCCCCGCGCCCAGTTTTAGCCCGCCTGTGCCCGGCGCATGGCCTGTTTTGGCCTAGTCGTCCCGACCATTCGGCCCAATCCCCGAGCCATTCCCCCTCACGCTCAAGACAGAGAACGACAAACACAGAAACGACGAAAGGGAAGAATAATGGCCGAGGAATCTCGGCTGGCACCTCAAGGAGGCTTGTCCTTGAGCCAAGGATGGCAAGAACAGCTGTGGGGGCAGAGAGGGGACAAAAAGAGACACCGAGAGAGAGATTGAGAGGAGTCGAAGGGTAGAGGGTCCCCATCTGCCTGAAGGAGACCCCGAGGTACCGTTGACGAGCCCCCGGCTAGCCGCGAACCAGGTGGGCCTTCCTTTTATATTCTGTTTTGATCCCCATTGCTTTGCCTCTCGGGTACCGGGCACACCGAACCCATTCAGTGCTTGGCCGGCACCACAAAATGAGGAAAACGTCTTCTATCATCTCCAAGAAGTGTTATTGAGTAATCTTTATCAAGAAAAAACCTTTGAATCCCACTGAAATCGGCTTAGAAACCCCTACTTTTAGGCGCCTCACACCGGTTTGTTGAAATGCTCCAACAAAGCTCTTTGAGCCTAGAACTCCGAATCTGGTCTTGCGTTTTTTGGTCGTTTCAATGCAAACCGAGAAAAATTTGTGGCTCAATAGAATTGATTAAGTCTTTTTCCGTCACATTTGAGCCGAAAAACACCCCGAATCTCGGCCCAAAGTCCTTGTTTGAACTCGCCTGCCATCTGTTTGACAAAATGCCTAAGTGAAGACCGAAGCCAATGTCACCAAAATTAGTCCATAGAATCTTCAATTTATACTTTATTTGTTTTGAGATTGATATTTGGTGATTAACTCTGTGATTTCTTTCAATTTCGTGGCATGAAAATCACTTTCCCGAGCCATCCATGGATGAACGCCCTTTCATCGGAGATCCATTCCCCTCGCCCGAGTTGCCCACGGTTAAAGGCCGCTCCGGTCAGTTTTCTTCTCACTCATTTGATGTGCAGGTTTGTGTTTTATATGCTAGGATTGATAGAGTTTTGCTATACATCATTTCGGAGTTTTGACGATCCCTCGCCGGAGTTGGTCCGGTGATATAGAGACCGTCAGCCAACTAGCGGCCGGCGGTGATTTAGCGTCGATTGACCGACGGGGAGTGGTTCGGCGTTGGCCCGAGCTCCGATGCAAGCTCGCTTGAGGAATTTCGGTGATGAAGGCATGAGGAAGGAGTTCTTGGTGAAGAATACGCCGTGCAGACAACGTCCCAGGAGATAGACGATGAACAGGAAAGAGGAGACAAAAAAAGGATAAAAAAAAATAGATTATTAGGGCATAATCCGGGTGGGTCAGATCAATGAATTGGACCGGGTCCCCTAACCCGGTTAGAGGTCCCTTTTTTTAGGGAAAATTTCAAATCAGTACCCAAAGTGGGGTCATTTTCTCAAAAAGGGGTCCAAAGTGGACATAGTGTCAAATAAGGGCTTGAAGTGCCCAATCAATCTCAAATAGGGGCCTGAAGTGTCCAATTAGTCTCAAGTAAGGGCCTGCGTCGCCGGTCGGTCAAATACTCACGGGTCAGCGAGCACGTCACTGTTCCGGCAATCAGAACAAGGGCAATTTCGTCTTTTGCTTTCTTTATTTTTTTTTCTATTTTCCTTTTCCTTTTCTTCTTCTTTTTTTCCTTTTTTCCCTCCGCCGGCCATAGCCGAGGCCGGCGGAGGTTGTCGGCCTCAGGTGGAGCCCGACGCTGGCGAGGGAAACCCAGGGTCGGCCCTCGCCGGCGTCGGGCAAGGGCTGCCCTCGCCTGGGCTGGGCGGGCGAGGGCGAGGGTTGCCCTCGCCGGATCTGGCGAGAGCAACCCTCGCCCTCGCCCGCCTAGCCCAGGCGAGGGCGGCCCTCGCTTGACGCCGGGGAGGGCAACCCTCGCCCGATGCCGATGAGGGCAACCCTCGCCCGACCCTCGCCTACGTCGGGCGGCCTCCACCTGAGACCGGCAACCTCCGCCGGCCTCAGCTATGGCCGGCGGAGGGAAAAGACGAAAAAAAGAAGAAGAAGAAGAAGAAGAAGAGGAAAAGGAAAAGAGAAAAAAAAATAAGTAAAAGATGAAATTGCCCTTGTTCCGATCGCCGAAACAGTGATGTGCTTGCCGGCCGGTGAGCATTTGACCAGCCGGCGAACCCAGGCCTTTACTTAAGACTAATTAGGCACTTCGGGCCCCTATTTGAGACTGATTGGGCACTTCAGGCCCTTATTTGACACCATGTCCACTTTGGATCCCTTTTTGAGAAAATGACCCCACTTTGGGTCTGATTTGAAATTTTCCCCTTTTTTATTATTAAAATATAAAAAATTAAAAAATTCAGAAAAATAAGGAAGTGTTTGGAAATTTGTTTTGAGGTTAATTTGATTAGATTTTAGTGTTAATTTCATTGTAGACCTAGTTCAAAAGCTTGTAAAAAATGATAAAATCTTTAAAAATTTTCCAAAAAATTGAACAAGCCATTAGAGCTTTACCTTAGGACTTTTGATTGCCTTTTTTTCTTTTTTAGAGACGATGCTAGGTCGTTGTTATTTATTTTCATGTCGATTACTTGATTGCGCACCTTTAATACATTGATTTTTATTTTCCATTTTTACCATGTTTAAGATGAGTTTTAGGCTTCTCGATAGGCTGCCCTGGTGTGTTAGTTAACAAGAGATCAAGTTTAGGTACCAAAAGGGTACTAGTTAGATCGCTAGTGTAATTAAGTCTCCAATCCTTAGAATCTCTGGTTTTCACACGTATCAAGACCACACTTCCGCGTCTTGATTGGGGTTTCTAGCCAACTCTTGATTATGGCTAGTGGCGACTCCAATCGAATGCGTAGATTAAACAATTCTCATCGCACGAGGTATGAGGTTAGGGAGCGCCTCCGTCCTTGGATAGATGAGCCTTTTGGTTTGTTTTTCGAACAACTAATCGATGTTCATGTCCATTGACAAATACCTCTTGACCTAGGTTACATATTTATTTATTCCCCGATCGTGACGGATAGGTCGCGACAAAGACTAAATGCTATGAGGTTTTCAAAATTATTATACATCACTTTGGCCGTTGAAATTATGATGCATAGCTCTGAAAACTAAATAAATGATCCAAATTATTTGCACGATATATGTTAGCATATACATCTTTTGCAAACATATGTGTAGTCATACGGGCAACTATTATTCACTTTACCGGCAAAGTGGCTATCTCATGTAAATTCGAAATTTTTTTCTTTATTTTGTTGGTATGGCATAGAGACCTTAATTAATTTAACTTATTTAATTGGAATGGGTTCGAAAAAGCACGAGAGGCATTGGCTTTATGTGAGCTCAATGCCTTACCATCGCTAAATCATGCGGGTCTTATATGGGATATGCCGAAATCAGTTGGATATAAGGAACCAACTGATGTCCTATAAGCAACTGATGTCATGACTTTGACCAATTATATTGATATATGATATTGCATCATAACCAATTGCAGTATGAACTCTTAGTTTTACTAAGTTTGAGTAGAATCCACCCCTTCTCAAGTCTATTTTCCAACTAGATGATACTTAACTCGGCCGCAACTCGAAATTACAACGTGCGGA